AGTTCAAATTTTACAAAATATGAATTCGATAATAAAACAAATTCCAAATTTGGGCTTCCAGATGCCCATATTCGCAGTAGGATTACGTCATTCAAAAATTGGATGGCTCTAGGTTCCGTTGTTTTATCACAATGCGAGAAACATACATTCACTTATGCAGACTCATTAATATTTAATTTCTTCAAATATAATACAGGGCGATAATATTGGGTGGCAACAGTTTGAAAAGTGAAACGTACATTCAGAGTAATTCGACGCAAATTCGCAAAAAGGAAAACAATAGTCCTTCAGGGACAAAACTCTTTTGGACTAATAAGAAAAATAAAACCTTTCTGAAAGGAATAATCAATTGATAGAAAAATTTGAAAATTCCCTGGAATTTAATGGGTAACGGTAAATTTGTAGATGTGAAGAAGTAGTTGTGAAAAGAAAACATGGGAACCGCAGCTGCATTCTACGAGTAATTATGAGGTTGCGAAACTGCATTTTAATTCGTTAAGGCGCAACCTTATAAAGTTCCTTCTTAGAATTTATAGCTAAGTGTGTGGAACCTTGAGACTGGTAAGCGAATCATCGCTTTTGCTCAGAAAACAGAAACTCAAGAAGGGTTAATTACCCTTTATTGCTCACAATAAAGTTTACAGATGGCTCTTTCTCAGGACGTGCAGAAAAGCCTCCACTTGAGCTTGAACTCAAGAATACTAAGAAATCCAACTTAACTAATGCTCAACTAAAACAATCTAGCCGAAGCTATCAAAATTCTACAGGACTTTGTTCCTTAAACGCTAACTAAACGGCGAAGCTATCAAGGGCCTGAAAAATCAAGGACCGAGCGTACTAATAGGTTAGAGAGAGAGTGTAGTCAAAAGGCGAACGCGCGCTTATCAGAATATCTGGCCCTCTAACGAAGTCAGTGGAACTTCGACTTTAACTACTGATCTTTCTTCATTTGCATTTAACCGCGATTCTGAAAACACATTCTGGTAGGAAATTGTGATCTGAAATAAGGAGCGACAGGAAAGTGGCTTTAACTAAAAATAACTGTTAACAACATAGGATAAACCTTACAAAGTAATTAAAAATCGAGAAATTTACGACAGTTCTAAAAATTATATTGGAACAATTAGAATGTCTGCTTGTGGGGAAATGTGCTAATGAAGATAAAAATTCAGGATATTATATGCCCCACAGAGCGGTAATTAGGGATGACAAGGAACTACTCGGGTTAGAATTGTTTATGACTGTAGCAGCAAGGGAAATTAAAATTATAAATTTCTAATTGAGTCTCTAGAATCGAGAGTTAATTTTTATGCAAAATTATTAGATATAATTCTTAAATTTCGTGAAAATGAAGTTGCATTTTACGGAGATTTAGAGAAAGCTTTTCTTATGACACAGACTGCAGAGGAAGATAGAAGATTATCTTAAACTTTTATGGTTTCTAGATGGGGATTCAATAAAAATTCTTCATTGAAATGTGCTGGCGATCTGTGTTATGGAAACAGTACCGCTCAGGATGCTAATCAGTTGACCTCCACTGCAATAGAGATATTCGGAGGATTTCGTCGGAGGAAGTTAAAAGCTAATTGTCCCGGACTGTATATATTGATTTCTGGAAAGGGATAGATTTCTTGGGAATTAAGTGGGATCCGACTGAGGATAAAATTAAATTAGATTTGAAAAATGTTAGTGATTCTATCGATGGTAAAATCACCAAGCGGCACATCCTGAGAGTCATTTCAAAGACATATGATCCATGTGGAAGTGTTAGCCCGTTTGTAACCACAGTGAAAAATCTCCTGCGTGAGATGTGGGAACACTTTCTAAAATGAGATTTCTAAAAGAGAAGATTTGCCCAGGGAATTAGAAAATAAATGAAGAACTTAATGTTCTGAGCATTGGTGAACTTGAATCAGTAGCAAAAGAAAACCTTTTGAAAGTTCGGAAATAAATGGAGTTTTTCTTCATATTTTATGACGCCAGTCCCAAGATATATGGGGTTGTTGCGTTCAGCTTGGTGATATCTCGCTAATTTAGCCAGACAGTCATTTGCCTCAATGTTACATAGACTTGCCCCTGTAATCTTAATTTTCCGGCAGAGCTTCACCCTCTTCGGACACTTTTCATTATCTTTTGTATACTTCATTATCTTTTCACTGAAATTATTTGCATACATACAAAATTCGTAACACATGAATTATTTTTCTACTAATTTTCAGCTTTTGAATGCTTAAGATTGATTTTTAATTTTAGCAAAAATTTATTAGTTAGTTCAAAATATGAAATATAAAAGTAAAAATATTCATTTCCTTCTTGCGGTCAAAATCTTTATGCGAATTTTTAAAGCCTGAAAACGAATGTCTGCGGTTATTTGTAAGTCATGCGCATGATTTGTGGGTGCTTTATATTTTAACCCGATATTTTCGATGACCATGTTTTTAAACTGCGAAACTCGAACCGTTCTATCTTCAATGACGTTTTCTACTACAATGCATTAGAAATGCGATGTTTTCTCCTTCTTTTTTATACTGTTACGTTTTCACGTTGCGTTGTTTTCTCAGTGATGTTATCGGCGAACGTTGTTTACACCACACAATATGTTATGCATTGTGAATAAATAGCATCCGTATAAAGTAAAAATTTAGGAATAGTGTATTTTTAAGTCGATTTACTAAATTGCTCTTTTAGTGAAGAAAATCAGTCAGAAGAAATTGATTTTTTAAAATTATTTAATAGTAATGTATTTATGTTGTTACGAAATGTACAGGCGCGGTGGGGTAGCTTTCCCGCAAAGCAGTTTTAGGGTTGCCATAAAATAACAAGGAAGGCAGGGTTGCCACATTTGGCGAGAAATCATCCATTTGACGACAAACTTAGCGATATGCTAATGGACGGATAGAAAACCTTCTGGAACGAATTCTTACCGGTTTAGCCCAGAATGTTCTCGAACACAAAGCAAAAGCTATATAAGCCCTGCTGGTACGCGGAGAGTTAGTATCGAGTTGGTGTCTCATATAGCGAGTCAATCCCTGCGGAAGTCGATCGAGATGACAGCCGGCAGCGAGTGCGAAGTGGGTAGGAGAGTGCACCGAAAGAGGTCTGTTTCGTAGTGTATCGCGGTTATCGCATCGTCGGGGAGAGCGTGTTGAGCTCCAGGGAGCGATGAACCGAAGACGTCGGTTTTAGCTCGTTGATCTGTATGTAGTCGAGTCATCGCGAGTTGTAGTGTGGAGAGTCTCGATGTACGTGGAGTTCCAGAGAAGACCAAGCAGAGTCGGGAGCTGTACTCTAGTACTTTGCCGTGATGAAGCTGTCTCCACATCATAGCCTGATAACCTGGAGGCTGTGTTCGCTGATCGTGTCAGGCGTGTTTAGAGTAGTTCATTGAGACTGTTAAAACGCGTTTGGAGAGCTGTCAGACAATTAACTGGCCAGTAAAAAGTTAGTAAAAAAGTGTTTCGATACTTCATCAAGTAGTATTGTCATTATTCACTCCAAATCCACACGAACCCCGTACGAACGTGAAGGAAGAAAATAATGTAACAGCTGTTGTCAGAAGAGAACAACGTAACAATATTTTATACAACTACAATACGTCTACATTGCTAATTAATTTAAATAGTTTTATTACGTGTGTATTTAACTTTATTTGAATACCTTATAAGGTATTTCTCCCGCTTTCCTAGCGTCCTTTGTGGTGTAGTGGTTCTGTACTCTGGGCCGGTATCCAGAGGTCCGTGGTTCGAGTCCCGGCGAAGGCGGTCGCTAATTTTTCATGTCTCTTGCTCCAAAAATACCTAATGTCTCTACAACCTATAATGACTTCATTCTTTAAAATGTATATGCGCATACATGTATGGAAATTTTTGAACTTACGATGAATTATATTTTCACATCTGTGTGTTTATATGGGATTTTGCAACTAAGTTTCTATTTCTAATAGCAACAGAAAAAGAAAATTGATATATTTGTTCGTAAAAAGCAGAAAACAAAATTGAATTCATTTCTAAAAACCGATGATCAGCCGTTTCTATGTCATCATTAATGCAGCGTAGCATACTGTAAACTAGAACTCTGTCATGCTTTTGAATAGACTCTTTAAGGAAATTTGTTTCATTGCTTTGTATTTTATTGCAGAAATAGAGAAAATTTATTTTCAAATATGTTTAACTATCTCAACTTTCTCAACCTACGGTACGCAAAGCCTACTTTTGCAAACTTTCTATGTTTCCAAAAAAGACAAAATATAAAATTCAAATTAATTGATTATACTATAACTGTAGCTGATAATCTCAAAATCTGGAAATTACACATGGCAGCTGTGCATTTTGCCCAGTGTGACCAAAAGTTAACATTCAATTTTGTGCACCGAAAATTGTGTCCTCCTACCCGCTGCAGCATTGTTTGTTTTTATGTAGAAAATGTGATTCTAATCGTAATTTTTTTTTAAACTGTATTTGGTGTTCTAGGTTTTTCTGTACTTTAAATTTATTAATGAATATTCAGTTTTTATGCACTTTCGCCTTGCCTCGACTTGCGAACTGAATTGATCGAATTAGAGGAAATACGTTTAAATGGAGTGCAGCAAAAAATGTGTACAATTTAGTAGGCTGTATAACGATGTCATGGGGAGCCCAGATGAAATATTTCAATGAAATCATTTGATTTATTTGAATGTGGCAAAGCACACCAGGGCTATCCGCCTAGAGAAGAAATGTTTTTGTGAAGAGCGTTTTACGGAAAAAAAAAAAAAAAAAAACGTTCGTATGAAGGTTACACATGCCGAAGATCACGAAAACCAACTATGCATGCATTACTTCCACTTGGAATCGAACCTAGGTCGAACTCCCAGCTTTTAACGGTCTTAAACACTCGGACACTGGTGGGGCTGTCGTTCTGTGAAATTACTTGAACTTGACTGATTATCATTAATTAAATTTAAATCACGTATTTTTATCAAGATTTCTATATATTCTATACTATGCAAAAATTAATGAAAGCACCTATAAAATCAAAATTTATTCAATGAAAATAAAGCACTTACAAAAATTTAGCAAATTAATATAATTAATAAAAATCTAGTAGTTGTTGGTAGTAGATAGTTTACTTGTGAAGCACAAAAACAGTCTTGTTAAAAGAAGAACCTGAAATAAAAATAAAAACATTGGTGAATATGTGAAACAAATGGTGAGCACAAATACAAATTGGCGACAACAAACAAATTGGTGAATGAAATGGTGAGGAAAAACTGCACGAAATTTACGGTTTTCTACGAGAATATAATTATTTTTTTTATTAAGAACTCCGCCGATAGGCACTATACGGAGAGGGAGGGATGCCCCGTGGATTACGTCACACATGGGGAAAACCATAAAAACGCCCATGCAGCCAGCCCGGACTCGAGCCCCGTACTGAATTACCATTTTTCAGCGGCTTTTACCTATTGGCCGCTAGTGGACCTGAATTAGACTAATTATTAGATAGCGAATTAAACTACTTCATTATATAAAAGTAAATCGAAATCTTGAAAACAGTATTCAAATTTTAATTAGAAAAGGAAAATGCCAATGTAAAATATAAAATTAAGCAAAAAAGCAAAGCTTAGACTAGCGTAGCGTTCAGTTTTAAGACCGAATTGTGTAAAAAAAAATGAAAACATTTATAATCAAAATTCATTTATCTTTATTTAGCATTCATTCACTTAATTATTCTTTTATTAAAACATTCATTTATTTATTTATTAAAGCTATAACATTCTCCGTGTTAGCTTCAATTCGTAACATTTATTTATTTACTTATTAAAATATTTACAATCAAAACTCTTTTATTTATACTATGAGAATTAACAAAAAGGCAAACTTTAGACTAGAGTAGCATTCAATTCACATTTAAATTCGAATCGTGTAAAAAATACTAAAACATTTGCAATCAAAATTCATTTATTTTTATTTACCATTCATTCATCCATTCCTTTATTTATTAAAATATTTATTTATTACAGCTATAACAGTCGCTTGTGTAACTCAATTCAGATAGTGAGGGTTATTTATTAAAACATTGACAAGAGAAATTAATTAATTTATTAATATTCATTTATAAATTAAACAAATCCTTAGACGACTAGCGTAGCATTCAATTCATTTTTAAAATCGAATCGGGTAAAAAATATTAAAACATTTACAATCAAAATTGATTTACTGCGTTATTTTTTAATACACTGCTGGCCATTAAAACTACAACACCAGGAAGGAATGTCCTGACGAACGTCAAAAAATCACACGAAAGGAAGAAGTTGGGATATGCAATTGATTAGTATTTCAGCGCATTTAGATGACGCAGGAGGCAGAAACGACATCTGAAGCACTGCATTAAAGAAACGTTGTGTAGTGGATTTCTCATTCGGAAAGGTAAGTAAGGTCGGAGTTTTCTCAGAATGTCCTGTAGTGCCTCGAATAAAAAGATGAAATACTTACCAGCAAGTTTTGAAATTCGAGTGAGGCAGGATCGTTGTCTATCGAGAGTGCGGATTATCGTTCCATGGTATCGCTCGTCGCACTGGTATACATTTAACCATTGTCATGCGAACATCGAATCAATGGGCTGCTGAGGGTCATATTAAACGGCATGCAGGATCTTAACGTTCGAGAGGACAGACGTATAGTGAGGTCAGCCCTGCAAAACCGTACAAACACATCAAGGACCATTAGTCAGGAAATAGGCATGTTTGAAGCAATCTATTATCCGCTCGTACGGTGTGTCGACGTTTGCAGCCGCGTGGACTATCAACACGACGACCATTACTCCGGCTTCCCTTGACAATGCAGCATAAAATCGCCGTCTCTCTCTCTATGCTGCAGGCGACAAAGGTGGGTACAGGAGTGTCACAAAGTCGCAATTTTAAACGAGTCCCGGTTCTAAGTGCAGTATTCTGATGGCGGTATACGTGTTTGGAATGTGCGAGGAGAACGTACGTCGCTTGCTTGCGTTCGATATCGGCATAGGCGCCCCTCACCTGGTATGATGGTTTGGGCAGCCATTGGGTACACGACACGCACATCTCTAGTTTGGATCGACGGTAATTTGAATGCAGATTGGTACATTTCTGACATCTTACGTACAATGGTTGCGTCCAATCTTCGAGTCCCCCCAACGCCATGTTCCAGATAATGTAAGATCGTATGTTGCACGTCGTGTTCTTACCCTCCTCGAACAGCAGTATTCGACTGCTGTTCTGGCCTGCACGGTCTACAGATGTATCTCCCATTGAAAACATCTAGTCGTGGGTTGCTGAGAGACTGGCTCGCCACCTCTCTACAGCTAATACGGTTGATGAAGTGTGGCATAGACTTTGAGCAGCATGGAATAAATTGCCCATTTCTGTCATCCACGTACAGTTTGACTCCATGCCTAATGGGGTAACGGCCGTTTTAGCTGACAGGGATGGCAGCTGTTTTTACTAATTTCGCACCCCTGTAAACCTCCAAAATACTTACAAATTGAATCATTTTGTCTTCATACCATACTTTTTACGTGTCATAAATATCTTTTTTGTATTTGATTTCCTTCATGGTGTTGCAATTTAAATGGCCAGCAGTGGACTTTGTTACCTAAAATGGAAATAGATGTGAAATTTTATTATCTAGGATCAGTAGACGTTGAGTTTGGTTTTCCAATTAAATATACTGTTTATTTTAATTCTGAAGCAAAAGCTGTCAAGTCTACTTGCTATTCTTATTCGTCCTACTTTCTTGTATTTGAATATTACAATTTATAAAAATATTATTTTAAATATTTAAGTTTCTAATTAACGTATTTGTTGTGTGTATTTATACCAATACTAACACTGATATAAAATTATTAAAAATTTTAAGGATCATGTAATTTTTTATGCAGTATCCATTCAAACAGCAAATCAGAGATTTAGTCCTATTGCTGATAATTTGCAGAAGATGTAAGATTTCACTCTTTTCGCTAACATTCAAGTGACTTGATCTTAGTAGTAAGCCTGGCGACTTCTTGCACAGGCTTACTACTAAGATCAAGTCACTTGAATGTTAGTAACAACACAGGCAAAAGGTGTAAATTGCCCATTTATTTCTCAAATTCTTCAACAAAAAGCCATGTACACTGCACATAGAGATTTTGACACAAAATCGGAATTTTTCTTAAATGACATGCCAATTTTTTTGCATATTTGATTCTACGACTCAAATTATGCCTAAATATTACATTTTGTAAAATTTGGTGCGAAATTTACGAAGAAAATAAAAAAATGTATCCCAGCGTTTTTTTTTTTTTTTTTTTTTTTCAGTTTACGCCTTACTTGGAGAACTTCTTAATTTATGGCAGCCTATTTTCCTTCCCTTTTTACATTGCGCGCGAGGGAAAAAACGTCACATCGTTCCTACTTTCAAATAATTTAAACAAAGTGCCTAAAACACATGTCATTTTTTATCGCTTTCAACAAACACGCAAAATTTCAAAACGCGCTATTCACTTATATTCACAATATTAATAAATTCACGTATATTTTCGAAAGTTTTGAATAAAAAACTCTAATGTTTTGCATGTATACTTAGAAATACATAAGATGGTGGTAAAACTTTTATAGGTTACAATTCAAAATTCTTTTCGAAAAATTTATAAAAATTATTTAAAAATACAAATTTTAAAAATAAATCACAAAATATGAGGGAATTTTATTTGGAATGAATATAAATTTCGAAATGTGAAAGGAAGCATCAAATAAGCTTAATAAAAAAAGAGAGATTAATAATTATATACCAAATTCAATTAACATTGAGGAGCTCAAATTTTGAGAGCTAATTTCTTAAAAACTGCTCGTGCGATTTTTATGAAATTTGGCAGTTTGGTATAATTTGAGTCGTAGAATCGAAATGTGGAAAAACATTGGCATGTCATTTAAAAAGAAGTCCGATTTTTAGTCAAAATACCTATTTTAGCACAATGCTATATATAAATCTAACACATATACTAAGTCGCGCTTTCGAGACATGAAAAACGCACTTTTAATTTCGTCAATCGGCCCAGTAGAACGGGAGAATTGTCCCATTTTTTTTTTTTTTTTCGTAGTGTACGTCGTACTCATAATAACACTGCGTACTTGAGGTGGGAACTTAAATATAAGTTAACAATAAATTCAAAGTAGTAATTAGTAGACTAGACTGCACAATTTACTTAAAGCTAACAGGCTGACTCTCTGCACCGGCCATAGACTTACTAAACGGCTACAATGCGTAGCCACAGCTAAGATTAACAGCTGGAGAGGACAGAACAAGCAACGTCCGCTAACTAGCGAAATCATGCTTTCTGTAACCTTCTCGTTTCGCCTGTTTAAGTACTCTCTTCATTTAACTTGATTTACTTTCTAGCGAGGAAATGCAAACAAACTCCAAATTTCAAATTTCATCTCCCACATGCCCATATTTGTAGGAGGATTACGTCATTCAAAATTCAATGGCTCCATCTACCGTTGTTTTATCACAATGCGAGAAATATGCATACATTTTTCATTATTTAATTTCTTCAAATATAATGCAGGACTCTAACATTTGGTGGCAACAGTTTGAAAAGTGATTCGCCGTTTATAGTAATTCAACGCAAAATCGCAAAAGGAAAACAATAGTTCTTCAGGTACAAAGCGCCTTTGGATTAAAAATAAAAATACGCAATAATAATTTTTTGAAGTTGTAACTCATCATACTTTCCCTTCCGTAAAAAAATCGCCGAACTGCGGCAAGGTGGTTGCGCTAATATGTGAGTACACATATCTAGAGCTAATCATAAATTAATTTACGCATAATAGCAGTAATTTACGCATAATACCAGTGTGGTCCAACCTTTAGTTACCCGAGAGCCAATCAAACGTTAGTATAGGAGAGTAAGGGCCAGAGACATTAAAGAAAGAAAATGAATAGCATATAAATCATTAGTTTAATATATGTTTAGAAAATGACAGAAATTGTCATCTGATGGACAGCTTTGCCAATGTCAGCGGTTTCCCGCTAAATCTGCTATTTTGTATTCTCTGCAGTGCAGGTTCGCCAGCTAGTTCCCATCCTAGCGACTGTTTTACACTGCTTGTTTTTTATACATACAGTTTATTCTGTTTATTATTATTTTAAGCAGTAAGAAGGGTCTTTTGTTTTTCTAAATGTTTAACTAACATTTTTTTTTCTCCAGTAAGAAGGGCAAGGGCCAACAAAATGAATAAGAAGGCGGCAAGCGGGCTGGACCACACTGGTATATACATTATTTTTAACTTTTTTAATTTATTCATTAAAAATAAACATACATTTCTTTTTCTTAACACGAGCATGGGCGCCTTTCTTCCCCAGTTTGGGCAGCACTGCTTTTCACTTCAGTTCGAGTCGATTCTTTGAAATTGTGTAACTTCAAGGAAATAATGTCTACCTTCTCTGCTGGAAGTTTCTCAGGTAAACGGGATTCCGAATTTTGGATGGCCTTTTTAGGAACAACGCGCATTTCAGCAACAGGACCTGGAGGAATTAGGTTTTTTTTCTGCAAAACCTCCTTCAGAAGGCTAAAGAAAACCTGGGAAAAAAAAAAAAAAAAAAAAAAAAAAAAAAAAAAAAAAAAAAAAGGCAAATTAAAAAAAAAAAAAATCTGAAAAGGTTCAGATTTTAAATTACGCCCAAATGGGCTTTTTTTTTAACATGTGTGTTACCTTTATTTATTAAATATCATGTTCTTCACACGTAAACTAGAAAATTCAGTTCAAATGCAATATCGCAAAATACTTTTAAAATGAGCATATCTTTAGAACATCTGATACAGAGTTTCGCGCGCTGGAGATAAAAATGTTTTTTTTCCCGCACAGTACTGCCATTGCTCGCTTTGAAATCGTTTAATTTGTTAATCAAAAATTCGTTGAAATGTTATAAAATATGAAATCGATCATAAAACAAATTTCAAATTCAAATTAGGGCTTCCACGTGTCCATATTATATGGAAGATTACGTTATTCAAATTTTGATGGCTCTAGATAGCGTTGTATTATCACAATGCGAGAAACAATCATACATTTATTCAGATTCCTTAACATTTAATTTCTTTAAATATAATACAGGGCGATAATATTTGGTGGCAACAATCTGAAAAGTAAAACAACGCAGAAAGTGAATCAACGGAAAATGGCAAAACGAAATTAATAGTCTTTCTGGGCAAATTGCCCCTTTGGACTAATTTAAAAAAATGTGAAAGCCTTTAGATTTTATATTACGCCCAAAGGAGCGTTTTGTTTTTCATTTACACATACATACACATTTTGAGAGCATTTGGGCTAAAAATATTTAAAAAAAGTATCTTTAGAATTTCTGATAGACAGTCTCGAGCGCTGGAGATAAAAATGTTTTATTCCGTACAGTGTTTCCACTGCTCGCTTTGAAATCGTTGAGGTTGGTTATCAAAAATTCGTTAAAGTTTTACAAAATATGAAACAGCACGCACATCAAATTAACCCAACCTCTCGTGTACAGAAAAGGGGCGTATCCCGAGATTTTGTAAAAGCCATGCTGCTGAACACCAAATTTGGAAAAAATGTGTTTGTGAATGAAGTTAGAATTGCATGTATTCGAAAGTTTGCTAAAATATTTGCGTGTTAATATATGGTTAAATATTGCACAGCATGTAAAATTATGAATGCACACAGTAAAAATTGCAAATTCATCAAATTTAAGGTCTGAAATGGTGATATGGAATTTTTCAGATAAAGCTTGCGAACAATTTATATCATAGAGTCATAACTCAATTTTGCCTGATTGATGCATGTCGCACAATGATTTATTTCCAAGTATAATCAGTTAATAAATTACGTTAATCAATTATTCAGCTATCCTAGCGCCAGATAAAAGATGAACTCTGTTACATGCAAGTAAGTTTATTTTCAATCCCAAGAGAAAACAGAGAAAATATATTTCAAATAATACGTAAAAATAGAGTTAAATATATTTAATAAATTTTCGGATAAACTGAAGTTATAAAAATGAAATTTTTCTGCTTTCAGGAATGTTCGCAGATTCGTTTATTATTAAAAGCAAGCTTTTCGTGTATTTTTTGGACGTATTACAGTTTCACAATACACGTAATAGATTCTCTATTCTGTGACTGTGCTTTTTGTATGAAATTAACTAAGAAATCCCTATCTTCTTTACATGGTATTCATGTAATCTTTCACCTGCAATTTAAAATATCCTTCACGCAATACAAAAACTTCACGCTGAATTATGCCAAAATTTTTAGTAGTCCAAAGGGGCTTTGTTCTTGAGGGGCGTTTGTCCTTGAGGGACTATTGTCCAAAGGGGCTTTGTCCTTGAGGGACTATTGTTTGTGAGGGACTATTGTCTTGAGGGACTATTGTCCTTGAGGTACTATTCGATTTAGCATCGAATCACTCTGAATGTCCGCTTCACTTTGTAGAGACATTAGGTAATTTTTGGAAGCAGACGAGATGAAAAATTAGCAACCGCCTTCGCCGGGAATCCAACAACGGACCTCTGGAATACCGGCCCAGCGTGCAGAACCACTACACCACGAAGGCACGCCAAAAAGGTGGGAGAACTACCTTATATACTTCCCATTTTAAAGGGCGACTGGGGTTTTTAGGGGACCCAATCGCCAAATCCTGGGGGTGGAGAGTCATCCTCTACCACCCTTTTAGTTCGCGCGCCACTGTAGAGACATTAGGTATTTTTGGAAGCAGACGAGATGAAAATATAACAACCTCAACTTATAACTTTTCAGACTGTTGCCACCAAATATTATCGGCCTGTATTATATATTTGAAGAAATTAAAAAATGAAGAATCTGCATATATGTATGTATATTTCTCATATTGTGATAAAACAACGGTACCTAGAGCCATCCAATTTTGAATGACCTAATCCCTACTGCGAATACGGGCATCTGGAAGCCCAATGAAATTTGGAATTTGTTTTATTATCGATCTCCTATTTTATAAAACGTTAACGAATTTTTGATTAAAAAACTCAAGGATTTCAAAGCGAGCAATGGCAATGTTGTACAGAAAAAACATTTTTATCCCCAGCGCGTGAGACTGTGTATCAGAAATTCTAAAGATATGATGAATTTAAAATTATTTTGCCATATTGCTCTTGAACTGAAATATGGTTTTAGTGCGAAGAACATGATATTTAAGAAATAAAGGTAAGACACAAAATGTTAAAAAACGCTCCTTTGGACGCAATTTAAAATCTGAAACCTTTTAGATTTTCTTTTATATATATATATTTACTTAAATTTATCAGTTTTATGTTATTTTTATTTGTTTGTATACTGGGAAGACTGATTAAAGCAGCTGTTTAATAAAGGCATACATGTGACTTATCAAGGGATTTAATATTTTATTGCTGTTTTTCTCTTACCTTTAGAGATATTTCTCTTTTCTTAATTTACTAAAGATCTATTCTTTATCTCTCATACATGAAAACATATTCTAATAATACAGCCAGGCATAAATTTTTAAAATTAGACACGCTGAAATTCTATCGAAAGCCCCCACAAACGGGAACAAAAAACATATAAATAAAAAATTAGATAAAGCAAATAAATAATGAAAAATTAAATAAAGGGATAAAATATTAATAATTTAATAATAATTGATAAAATGAAATTAAAAATCAAATGAAAAGGGGTAAATTAATAATGAATTAAAATAAATTCGAAAACATTTAGTGAAGTAAGTAAAGAAATGAAAAGAAAGAAATGAAATTCACAATAATAAGACATGATAGAGAAAATAGAAATCCGATATCAAAAAAGTAATAAATTGTTTTTTGAAGAACAGTACATTCCTACAGCTATGATTAATGGAACTGCCATCCGTTAGATCTGAACTCTTTTGTCGGTGAGACCGACTACATCACACGTCGTTTCTTCCGAAATTGGCCCACTTTATATATTTATGTTGTTGCTATGATATCATTAATTTTTGAAAATCTAAATTAAACGGCATGTTCTTATTTAAGACACTTAATTTAAAAAGCGTCTAAACAAATACATGACCTTCATTTTTTTCCCCTTGCGTTTACGCCGCATTCGTTTCTTTTTATGAAAATGAAATAAAAAAATTATAAAATGTTCATCTAAGAGATATAATTTAGGATCACAAGACCAAGACATTCTATTTGGTCTATTTTTATTCTGTAAATTAAATATGCTAGCTTGACCCTCTTCATTTATTTCAATGGTTTCTTGTGCACCAAATACCTTGTATGATCTTTCATAATCGTAAAACTCTTCGGTAGTTCGATGTTTAGAATTCCTCTGCAAGAATGGTAAATTTATCTTTTGTGTTTGTATCTCAGGAGATGATTTAAAATTTTTCAACTATAATAGTTATTTTGTTTTGAAGTCGATCAAATAATTTATTGTTTCATGTATTTTTACGATGCTGAAGAACGTATCTGCCAACTTTGCTTCCAAACGTTCTTTCAACTACGTCGTTTTCGCCAGTAAATGGTAGTTCTTTTCTTTGGTTGATAAGTGTTAGCAGCCTTTTTATTTACCACTGGATATTTTTCTGTATAGCGCTTTACGGCTTTTTGATTAACTCATAATATAGTTACAATAATGTAGTTTCTTATATATATGCGGCTTAAATGTTTGCCGCCGATAGTTTATTGGTTGCTTGCCTAACTGTAAATTGTTTTATTCCCCGTGCAGTGCAGCGGGTGACGAATATTATGAGAAAGCTAAGCCGGAAAAATTAAAAATACAAGATCACGTGCATTTAACATTTAATAAATAAATTTAACATCTATATATAATAGAATTCGAAAATATGCAACCGGCAAAAAACCGGCAACGATGATAAACAAATAAAATGAAATAAATAAATACTATCTTTATTATATGCGGCTTAAGTGTCTTTCTTGTCGCCGGTAGTTTATTGGTTGCTTGCGTAACTGTACTAGCCAATGGGATGAAGTTGCCACGGCACAGGGTTGCCGTTTCAGTTGAGACGTAGACAATTTCCTGTCAAACTTGCCTTTGCTATGACCATCCATAAGTCTCAGGGCCAAACGCTTAGGCGCGTTGGAACTTTTTTACCTGAGCCTGCATTTGGACACGGTCGACTTTATGTTGCCTGTTCAAGAGTTCGTGAAAGAACAGACGTAAAATTAAAAATAATGGATGTTCATCTGCAAGGCAAGCTTAAAAATAATGGAAAGATCTACACAAGAAATGTTGTGTACAAAGAGATCTTTGACATGTGAATGAACATTTTATTATTTAAATCAGCTTTATTTATTGAGCTAGCGGAATAAATAAATTATGCTATTAAGAAATCGTCTAAACTATTAAAAAATCGTCTAAGCTATTAAGAAATGTACCGCCAGTGGTTTCCTTCATTGCACTCTACTTTAAGCAAGTAGAAAGGGGAAACCCCGTGGGGTAATAAGCAAAGGGGCGTCCTCGCCTCCTGCCCTGGGTAATTCAGTTTGAATTAGCATATACCTTTGCCAAATCATTTTAATTACAATTTATAATATCTAGAACAGCGTCATTTCGTATGACCGCCGGACTTTCTAGTATAATAATACTGATTTTTGAAGTTTTAGATTTTTAAACGGATGTAAAAATGTAAACAATAAGTTTAAACAGCTTTTTTTTATTATTATTAAACAATATAAATGTACAAATCTTATTTTAAAGTGTAGATTCACGTTTCCTTTTCTCATTTGCGTCTGGCACCTGTTTCGTTACTTAAATTTGAGTTATTAAACGACAGCGTTTTGAAAATTTACATTCTTTTCGCGATATCGCTGTAGTTAGTTTATCGCTCTAGTTAGGTATGTGTGTGATTATGGCAAAGCTTCGAGGGTTATCTGCCTAAGGGAAGGGATGCCTTCGTGGAGGATTTTCTAAGGGAAACTGGCTCGTATACACGTTACACATGGGGAAAACTACAAAAACGCCCATGCATTCAGCCCGTTCGCGGGATTTGAACCTCGGACAGAACTACCAGTGTTCAGCGACTTTACCGCTCGGCCGCTGGTGGGCTCTGCTCTAGTTGGGGCCACACCCTCTAATGGAAAAAGCGCCAGTCATGTACTCTACCTCTGCGCTAGTATTTCACCTATTACAAACAGGTTTTTATTATTCACCTTCGGCAAAGTTGATTAGCATCTGAGTGGAGCGAAAACCGGCGATCGGTGCAACGCCATCTATTGGTGACGTTGTCAAATGCTCCTTTTGAGTTTTAGTTGGTTTAACGTCGATAATAATGTAGGTTTTTGAAGTTTTAGATTTTTTTTCTTTGTATATGCCCAATGATATATCTTGATGCCGAATTTCAAGTATCTAAGTCATATAGAAGTGTTTTGGTTTTTGATCACTCAGTCAGTGAGTGATAAAAATGATGTGTTTCAGACCTTAATAATTATATAACTATAAGAGGTAAATTAATGAAATTTGGGATTTTAGGTGCTATTAGAAATACAAAATTGCAAGTTTTTAGGTCTAATAGTTTTTAAGTAATGGATGTGTCGAAAGTAGCTCAATGGTTTGTGTAAGATACATATGGCCGATATCTCGCTGTTTTCTTTTCCGTTTGTTCCGAATTTGGCTGACACACTGCCAAGTGTCTAAATCATACTAAATTAAGTAAGTCAAACAAGCATAAAACAAAATACACTGAAAAGCATTAACAATTAAAAATAAAGCAAAGTATAATGAATTAGAAAATGGAACTACCAACTCAAAAAATTAGTAGAAAAACGCTAACAATCCAAACTTGAGGAAGCACTTAACGATGTCTATGAACAAATTCATTTTAACATAAAAAACTAAATCAACTGATAATTAATTAAAGTAAAAATGAGCGTTTAAACAATGGCTTATTAGCATTATACAGTTTTAAAATTTTCATCAAAATTAAGCTATATAATTAAAACGACCAAGAATCGAATTACAGTTCGTAATTTATGAAACCAATGGAGGCTGATTTTGCGATGGCGTAAGAGGTCATATTAACATACGAAACTGTGGCCTTACCAAAACCACGTGGTATCCGACGTCATGTGATACTTTTTGCGACGTTTCGATTCTTCTTATGTTTAGTTGAAACATTTCTGGAAACTCTGACTGGAGGTATGAAAGCCTGTGAAGAAACCACTAGCCGCCTGATAAATATAGTGGCTGCCGTACTGATGGACTGGGTTCGAATCCCGAAGAAAGTACGTGTTGCGTGCGTACGGGTCCGTAACAGATTGAATGTACACAGGTCCGATGATAGAATAATAAAATTTATTTTATCAAAAGAAGCACTTCAGAGAAAAAAAAATTCAATAGAAATACTCGCACGGGTGCTAACAGTATCGCAGAGTATTATATAATCAGTTTGTTACATTTCAAAATTATTATGAACGTTAAACACAATGCGATGCAAAGAGCGAAGATATCTCATTACCCCGAGAATACAATGCTGAATTAACGCGAATAACAATAAATGAGAGCACATGCCTTATATAGTTATCACCCGGTCGCTAGATATTTCTAGTACTTTCTACTTCTCGAAATTACTGCAAGGCACAAGAGGGCCTAATTACGGTTACAGCTAATATGTAGTTATCAATTACAACACCTATCACGGTGATATAAGGATCGGACCAAAACATCACCAAATGGTCGCCAAGTTTGGCAACTTTTGCAATTAGTCGCCAAAACCGTTGCCAGTTTGGTGATATCTCGCCAATTTAGCGAGATAGCTATGCTCTCAATATTAAATAGGCCTGCCCCTGTATTCTTATTTTTCCGGCACAGCATCATTCCTTTCAGCTTTTCTATACAGAAAAATACAACAACTTCACATATAATTTCACTGAAATAATCTATCTATGTACAAAATTTATAACATATGGATGCTTTAGTGTCTCTGAGGCAGGGGAGCACCGGGAAACCGAAAATCCTCTCGAGTGGTTTGGCAGTTGGGGAAGAAGGGTGGAAGACCCTCGGACGAAGTTAAACACAGCTAGTGCGATGGGACTATACTTATACGACCATTGGTGAATTGTTGTGTCCTGCCCACTTTCACTCACCTGTACATAGGAAGAAACCAAGATATGTTTTCTACATGCCTGGGAAAAATCACTATACTTAACACACTACTCATAATTAATGGAAATGCTTATAATTTTGTTTCAAGCAGATTTTCTTAAGTAAAACAAGGTTTTATGGTTTTCGTGCTACATAATAATTATTACTTAATAACTCCTCTGTGAATAAAAGGAAACTTTTATAACCTACAAATGGATGACACAACTCTTGTGGAACCATATACGGGTGAAAAATCTGATTCAAAATAGTATTGTTGATTTGTTACAAAATTTTCTATACACTCACCAGTTCGACATTGATGTTGTCTTTAGCACTTGTTTCTAAGAACTGATATTTTTCTTCGTTTGCAAAATCTCTAATCATTTTCTGAGTGACTGCCCTCTTATTTGCTTCATCCATCTTGTTACCGGCTACAAAAGAAACATACGTGTAGATAATATTTTTGGCGCAAATTAAATACAATATTAGAGGGTCAAAGCAAAATTTATAATTTCTATGTGCACCTAAAAAGAAAATGTATACAAACATTTCAGTATGAATGAAATCAGTTCTATATACACCGGAAATTTTTTTAAAAATATGAATGAAATAAGTTGTATATTCTCAAAGTATTTCAGCTTTATCTTAACGTGACTAGCTTCAGTTCATTCTAGTCTTGCAAAAATCTCAATGTTTGAGCTATATGTTGGTTTGACTAACTTCAGCCTTTTTGAATAAAATTTCATAGAAAATATCACTGTCAAAAATGAGAGAAAAAGTGACGGAGGAATAGAATAACCGCGTAATTCCATAAAAAATTATATTCTGCCTCTGCTTATAAAAAACGGATAGCAATTTTAAAATTCACCTCGTACTTAAGTACTTCCACACCGAAGAGCAATGAAGTTCAGCGAAAAAAGCAACGTGGAGTCTGCGAAAATAAGCGTTTCCAGAGTTTTTAATTAATGTCTCGGCTGATTAAAGTCGTACGGACATGAGAATGGTCGAAATGACTTTTCACGAATTTTTGAAATCCGAGGTAATCGCAACTCAACTCCCCCTCCGTTTCAGAGGCGATGATTTAAAAATAAACGAACAAACGAGCACAAATTTTAATACAACCTTTGTCAGAAAAGTTCAGGACAAAGGTCGTAAAAAATAAGAAATTGCATTTACTAAGTAATGATCTTAGCTTCTATCAATGTAGTCCCCTTGGCTATCTATTCAAGTGCCAATATTTCTTGAGATCTCAGAAGCAAGCGGGTAAATCTTCAACTGCGATGCTTGTAAGCTCATTTGTCACAGCCCGTTGAATGTCTGCAATAATCTTGATGAAGCTTACCTTTCAGTCCCCTTGTCGTGAACATTGTGAGTTTAAGAGAAAATAATGAGCGGTTTGTTAAAATTTAGATCAGATGAAAGATCTTTTAATATATAGCATTTCAATACTATTTAGCACAGTGTAATAGGTTCATTTTACGATACGCAACATCCACAAAAATGATCGTTACAACGCAGTTCGATCATCCACCTTTTTTGAACAACAATCTCTCTCGTTGCCATTCCGTAACAGAGAAACTTACCTCTCATGGAGTTCGATAGTGGCGCGACATTCTCCCCACCTTGAGTTTGGGGATACAAATTCAAAACAGTAACATAATGATAATACATACATACAATTTTGAGATAACAATAACGTACATAATAATAATTGAAATATTTCAAAATATTAGAATGCAAATTGAAATCAATATTTTAGAGTTCAAACACAGAAAGTTCAAAAGTTTGTTTAGAAGTTTATAAATCCAGTCTTTTAACTGGTTTTACTTTTCGTCCTGAGCGAGACACGCGAACAGTTTCATTAGAGTCAGTATTAAGCTCAGGTTTTTCAGCTATCACTTCCGGAACCTTCTGAGGTTCCGATACGACTTGCTCGTAATTTGGGGTCAATTCCAAAGGGTACAGTCGTTGGATTGGTCTTAATATGTTTCCCTTTTCAGTTCGCAGTTTCAAAAGTCTGATGATTCCATCTTTTCGTGGAAAGAGTTGCAGTACTCTCCCTAGCAGCCAATGGAGCCTTTTTTTATCATCTGTACCAATTAACACTATGTCACCTACATTTATTTTATCTTCTCTTTTGTTAACTGAAGAACGAAGGAAACCCAGATACTCCCTTTTAAAACCTTGCATTTTAGATTTTCACGAACCTTTTGAATATGTCTCCATCTCAAAACAATAGTAGTCTTTTCAATTTGATCCAAATCAGGAACATCATTTAATGGAATGTCCTGAAGAAACATTGAGGGGGGTCAAGGTCTTCAGCTCTTCCTCGGATATGTAAGTTAATGGTCTGCTATTCATAACAGATTCATATTCACAGATGAGAATCTGCAATTCCTCATAAGACAAATCAGGAGCACCCAAGATTTTTTTCTTAAAAGTTCTTTCAAAATCCCAATCAAGCGTTGCCAGAAGCCTCCCCACCATGGAGAGGAAGGATGGGTTAAACTTCCAACGAATTTCGTTGACTCTAAATTCACTTTCAATTGTAGTCCAATCTAATTGTTTCAGAGCGTTGTTTAGTCCTGTAAAATTAGTACCATTGTCTGAATACATCACAGAAATTCGTCCTCTTCTGGCTATAAACCTACGCATAGCTTGGATGAAGTCATTGGTACTAAGTGAAGGTATTAGCTCAAGATGGACAGCTCTAAATACGGCGCAAGTAAAAAGTACTATCCACACCTTTTGTTTAGATTTAGTCAACAGAGGTCCAGCTATGTCCACATCCGACACTTGAAAAACTGCTGCTACTTCTGTTTCGTCTTTTGGAAGAGGCGGAAAAGGTACCTCAAGATGTTTCACCTTTTGCCTTTTACATGTTAAGCATTCTTTGATAACACTCCGGACAGTTCTTTTCCCTTTCACTATCCAAAATCTTTCACGTAAAATAGTCAGTAGAGTTAATGTCCCAGCATGTTTGTTAGCAAGATGTTCTTGGGCTATAAATCTTCTCACTGCCAGGTGTTTTGATGGTAGAATTATTGGAGAAATAAAATCTTTCGATTCTTCCTCATTTATCAATCTGGACTTCAATCGTAAAATTCCTTCTTCATCTTCAAATATTAGAAGACCTTTCAAATTTTTTCGTGTTTCTTCATTAGAGTAACATTCCTTTTGTATTACACGGAAAATAGTCCTTTGTGTATTTAACCAATTCTTCATTTTGAAGTTCCTTACATTTTCTTAAGTCCTTGGCCTTTGGTTGAAAACGCAGTATCCAAGCCATAACCCTAATCATCTTTGAAAATCTAGAGAATCTTCTGGCTAGTGTTACTATGACTCTAGCTCTGTGTTACTAGCAGAGATGACTGACTTTCGTTTCTGTATCTCTACTTCTTTCTCGTTAATATTTACAGCTGAATTTGGCCACTGCTCCTTTGGATTCTTCAACCAGGCTGGCCCTTGCCACCACTTGCGTTTCTGAAGTTGCCTAGGTCCACAACCTCTTGACAAAATGTCTGCTGGATTCTGGTCAGTTGAAATATGGAACCAATCTTCCGAAATTGTCAATTTTCTAATTCTCACTTATTCTGTTTGTAACGAATACCGACCACTGTTCTCGACGAGTTATCCACACAAGAACTGTGGAAGAATCTGTCCAAAAGTAAGTCTTGATGTTGGGAAGTTTTAGAGCTTGCTTCACAGAACTAAACAGCCTAGCACCTATGGTAGCGAAGCCATTAATTCAAGACGTGGTATAGTAATAGTCTTCGTTGGAGTTATTCGTGATTTGGCTTGAAGTAATTGAACAGTCACTGAACCCATACTGGATTCACTTCTTAAGAAAATGCATGCCGCATAAGCTGTCTTGCTGGCATCGACAAAAGTATGGATACTTAAATTGGATTCCTTCATCACACCTAACCATCTTGGAATTTTTATATTTTTGAAGTATTTCAGTTGTTTTCCCCATTTTAAAAATTTTTTCTTTATTTCATCATTCACTTCATCATCCCATGATTCTTTGCTCTTCCAAGCGGCCTGCAGCAAAATCTTAGGCTGAATCATAACAGGTGCAAGGAAACCTATGGGATCAAATACTCGACTAACTAGTGAAAGTATTTTCCTTTTCTCTACCTTACCTTTTCTCTTTCATCAAATTTCAAAAATTCGGTGTCTATTTCTAAGGTATCTAAATCTTTGTCCCAAATCAGTCCTAAGTGATGTTGTACTTTCTGAAAATGCAGGAATGCCAGAACTTTCCCATCCTCTGAGATCAGACATTCCTTCTTTCATTACATTAGTTGCAGATTCGATGAATATTTCTAGTTCGGCATTATTTTGTACACTAGTTACGCAATTATCGACATAAAAACTATCTTGTAATTTTTTAAGAAATTCTTCAGAATATTTTTCTTTCCACGATTCTTTGGATAAATGATGGTTCAATAACCGCCATCAGCAAAAATGGACTACAAGTAATGCCAAATACCACACGGGTGTGACGAAATGTCTTCACTCTACCATCATCACCATACCAAAGAAATCGTAAAAAATCTCGATCTCTTTCATTTAGAGATATCTCTAAAAAGCTCTTTTGATGTCTGAAATCACACCAATTTCATGTAAGCGAAATCTTGCTAGAATAGAAGGAATAGTTTCAATCAAATTAATTCCAGTCTCTAAGCAATCATTTAGAGATGGCTGATTAGGAAACTTTCCCGAAGCATCAAAACGGGTCTAATTTTCATGGAAGATAGTGAGGACGTTTCCTTAATGACTGGACGATGTGGGAGGTAATGAACAACGGGTAAAGACAATTCCTTTTAGGGAAACTTCTTCAATCACTCCTTCCTGCAGCCATTCATTAAAGACTTCATGATACTTTTCACGATATCCGATTTTTTCCAACTTCTTCGTAGTATACTCGAGTCTTTTCAAAGATAGGTCATAATTGTCAGGTAAGACTGCATGCTCCATCTTCCAAGGCATATCAACCTCGTATCTACCATTTTCTAATTGACGAACTGTTTCTTGGAAATGAACCATAACAGCTCTTCTAGACTCTTCTTTAGTTTTTTGTTCAACAGGATCTCGGATACCCAATAATTCTAAGTCCCACAACGATGAAATAGGCAGGTCTTCTTGAGATAACATAGAAACTATAGTCATATTTACATTGTGCTGATGTTCGGATTGAGGTACTATCAGGTTCTGTGTTCCTCCTTACTTGCTTTGGGAACATGCACTGTCCTGACTCGAAAGAGGGAGCTTATTAAAGCTATGTTCAATAAATTTGGGAAGTAGACAATACACACAGGAAGGGTATACGAAACCCTTTATTTTTCTCTCTTTACAATGATTTCTGGAACTTCGGAATTCAGGGACCAACCACTTGTGGTCTGAACGTAAGAATATAAAAAATATT